TCGGTATGAGGGGCATTCTTGGTGCCATGTTCAGGGGTTGCTATTCCCAGCAGTGCTGGGGGGTTGATGCGGTGCCAGGAATCAAACTCAGTACCTTGGTATGCAAAAGCTATCTTCACAGTGCTGCTTCACTGACTACGAAATTCAGCTGCTTAAGTACTCATGCTTCCCTCATTTCTAAATATCGTCAAGCACCTCAGAGTTGACCCCTGTACCTAACAGACAGACTAATAATAGTTTGAAATCCAAATCTCTTACGATTAGAAAAATCATTTTTGAAAAAAAATCCTATTTCCTTGACTACAAAAGACAGAGGATTTTAGAAAAGCTGTGGCAGATGAGAACACTGGTGAAAGATCAGGAAATTAGCCACAGTCTCTGACATAAAGGCAGCAGAGAATACTATTCATCCACAGGCTAGTTCCAGATTCTTAGGAATAACCATGTCCTTTTCAATAACAAGGGGATTGCTGAGATCGTTCACCTACATGGTGAGAGCATTCAAGCCCAACATTATATTTACTAGTGTTACATATGCGGATGTCTCAGCAGACATCAGCTGAAATGGCTGTGTGGAAATGTAAAAGGAAAAAAAACAGATCTAGATCAAATCTCAGATATCCCGTGAAATGTATTATGGGAATTGCATCGTGATGACCTATAAATATTAGTACTGCACACTTTTTGTCAATGGCCAGATTAGCTCTATATTTGGAGCTCTCATTTAATTAACACATATTGGTCAAGCTACTTTAAAAAGAGGATGAGGTAGCTGTTAAACAGATGGAAAACAAATTTAATGGTATTTTTAAGACTGTTTCATGACCCTGCCCTTCCCCCATCAATTCCTCTCTTACTCTAACACTTTTTTAGACTAAGTTTGAGATTTTTCAGAAGCACAGATTTGTTAGAAACCTAATGAAAGAAATTAAACACACTAAAAAAGGGGAGGAGGACTCCAATTCCATATCTTTAAAAAAATCACAAATAAAACAGCCTGACTGTTCTCGCCGCTGGGGCCCCTTGGAGGGGAGCGGGTTGAGCTTTCCTCCCCGCCCTGACCAGGGCTCCAGCAGCCAAAGACCTCCAGGACCAGCCACCACCATGCTGAGACCATTCTCCGCACACATGAAGGTACTGGCAGAGGGACAAAGTCACGCAGGTTCCGGGGCCGAGATCTCCAAGCCTACTCGGATTTGGGCCGAGCATCCTCCACCCAGATCCTCCAAATTCCAGTAGGCGCGGGTCACACCCACCAACTGGCCCCCTGGCGCCGTGTAATCCCATCAACGGCCAAGACTCAGAGACTATAAAAACCAGCTCCCAGAACCGCGCGGCCGTGCGACATCCTATTATGATATCTTATTATCTCATTCCTACTTTGGACAAACTGGCAGGCTATCGAATGTAGCCTGCCCACAGGGCAGAGTCTGGCAAACTCCCTGTGGCGTACCCAATATGCCAAATACCAGTAACAATGATGGGTCTCATTCTCCTAAAGAGCCTTGAATATAATCTCAGGACCAGGATGAAGGAGACGTTACTGGGGCCTGCTCGAGGCAATCAACGGTTAACAGGATGATTTGTGATTTGTTTTTTGTGAAAAAAATATATGGTGTGTGTAGGGGGCTGCTGAGGACTGAACTCAAATTTCACCTATGCAAGGAGAGTGAGCTGCATCTCGGGCCCTACTTTCAAATCAACTGTATGACAAAGATCTTCACAGAATTTCTTTTTTTTTAAATTTTTCTTAGTCTGAACTATGTTTGCTTGATATTAAATTTTTCCTGTTTTCTAGAGATAAGACTTTCAAATTCTTTTCCACTTGGATTTTTCTCAACAATTTATTTGATGTTTTGAGTTTTGTTTTGTTTTCCTCTTTTTTTTTTTTTTTTGGTCATACCAAGCAATGTTCAGGGCTTACTCCTGGCTCTGCACTCAGGAATCACTTCTAGCAGCCCTCAAGGATCATAAGGGGTGCTGGGAGTAATCTCAGTCTGACCACGTGCAGGGCAAGGACCTACTTGCTGTACTATCCCTCTAGCCCCAGAGCAGAGGATCTTTGGGGAGTGATTAGATTATGAGGATGGAGTCTTCGTGAATGAGATTTGTGCAGTTATTTTTAAAAGGCTCCAGTGAATTCTTTTTCTTCCTTCCTTCCTTTCTTTTTCCATTTATTTATTTATTTATTTATTTTTGCCTTTCCTGGGTTGCATAAGCTTCTGTATTTGTTTCATATTCTTATTTTCTACAGCCGTTTAAGAAGATTAGAACAATCATGGCTCAGGGGTCATACAACAGCCATCAGGCCTGTGGTCTATAGTGTGCTTAGCCCCTGCCCCTCTTCTCCTGGAATAACTCTCAGACTAGTCCCTAGCCCCTTACTGCCTCTGCCTGCACAGCAGGAAGCAAACATTCTCCAGAACCCAGCCATGTGACAGTCTGATGATCCCTGACTCCCAGTCTTCAGAGCAACGAGAAGTAAAGCCACACATCGTTGGAATTCAGCCGCAAAAGCCAAACCTGAGACATAAAGCATCTTCCCTTTCCAACCAGGCTCCACATTTCAGTGCTGTGGATGACTCATTCTTTCAGCTTTTTCATTACAGCATAGAAACAGAATACAGATCAATATTCAGTGTATATCACTCTGACCACAACACAATTAAATACTATTTAAAAAAGCTCAAGGGTTGTGGGAACCCATGGCTAAGATCTCCAGACCATCTCGATCAGGACTGGGCCTCCTCCCCCCAGGTCTCCAGTTTTTCAGTAACTTGGCAGTCACACCCACAAACTGGCCCTGGCGCCATCATCAATGGCCAAGGCCCAGAGACTATAAACTAAAGCTCCCGGAAGAGAATGACACAGAATTTCCTGGACATTATATCCTATCCATAACAAGAAATACAAATCATCTAGCATTGCAGTTTTGGCAGGTTTGAGTGGTGGTGGGGCTGGTGTTGAAATATCGAATGTAACCAAAGTAGAGGAAGAGTTTGGGGGAAATTGTCGGCCATATAGGCAGGGGAAGGGTTGGAGCAAGGGTGGGAGGGGGGAAAACTGTGGATTTTGGTGGTGGAAAATGTGCACCGGTGAAGGAATGAGTGTTTGATGATTGTATGACCTAAGCTCAAACATGAAAGCTTTGTAACTGTGTCTTACGGTGAACCAAAAAAGGGGGGGGGGGAGGAATAATAATAAAACAAAATTAACATTCAGAATTTTTAAAAAATCAATGTGGAGTTCATGCCCAATTCAATCAGCTTATTGAATGGCTGAATAAATAGCGGTACTCCTATATTACATATATATATATATATATATATATATATATATATATATATAAAAGCTCAAGGATTCAAGAAGAAATAATGAACCATTTTAACTTAGAACTTGGCAGACCATGTAAAATTTGTAGGGTGCGGCTAAAATTTAGAAAGTTCTACCATTAAATACTACATTAGAAAAAAATGCTGAAGCTCAATGAGCTGAGAACAAAGTTAAGGAGGAGGAGGGGTCAACTGAATTTCTCTTACTTGGAAGCTGCGCTTATTGTGACTGAAATCGGGAAAAGACAGAAACATAGATCAGTGAAACTGAACGGTATAGAAACCATTCATCCATGGATAGTCGACTGGCTTCTGACAAAGGTACAAAAGCAGTTCAGTGTAGAACGGACACGACTCATGTAAGCCACCAGCAAGGTCAAGATACAAAATGTTAGTATCTTTTGAATTAATCAATTTGATTATTTTTTTCTTTTTGGGTCACACCCAGTGATGCTCAGGGGTTACTCCTGGTTCTGCACTCAGGAATTACTCCTGGAGGTGCTCAGGGGACCATATGAGATGCTGGGACTTGAACCTGGGTCAGCCGCGTGCAAGGCAAATGCCCTACCCGGTGTACTATCGCTTTGCTCCAGTCCCTAAATTATTTTTTGATAAACATTCTGTTCTCATTTTATAGAGTAAATCCCCTTAGAAGTAAAAGCGAATGAATACAAAGATTAAATCATGCCAGAGAGTTGCACTCAAAAGCTGTAGGACTTTTGGAAAGTTGCTTAATTTCTCAATTTTCCCTTATTTGTCCATTTCCTTAGGCTACTCTGAGAATGACAGATGGAATGTAAATAAAGTACAGGGTCCACAAAGAAATCTGGAGACAATGGAAATGTTCTTTATCCTGTATGCTGTTGATGTTTTCATGGGCAAAAACATTAGTAATACTTTTTTGCTTTCTTTTTACAGTGCCAGATTTCACTGACAGTATTGTGCAGCTAATTTGTATGTTAAAAGGTTTATTATATCCAACTTAAATCTTACTCAACCAAACTCACAAGAAGCCAGCTACACAAATACTTTTTCTTTCTCTTGGGCGGTGGTGTATACTGGCAGTCCCAGGGATTACTTCTGGTGGGGCTCTTGAGGGACCATGTGTGGTGCTGGGGATTGAAACTGGGTTGGCCCCAAGCAAGACAAGCACCTACCGGCAGACAACTACTATTTTCAAGTCATTTGTGGTGCTCTCTGGCTTACAAAAAAAAAAACTTTGCTACCACAATTAGAAAAACATAACTCTGTTTCCTTTTTAGTACAAGAAATATGTTTGGAACCAACACAGTTGTGCATTTATGTAGTCTAAATGTAGAGCAAAGTATCTAATGCTGTATTTTTTTCTGTAACAGAGATCTCAAGCTGTTTTGACAGCAATATTAAATATAGACTATTTCTCCTAAACTTACAGAGTTCCCTAAAATGAACTCTTAAGATATCTAACTAGGTCTGAAACTACCACTAATAGTCCTCAAAATAAGTGCTTTCCGTGAGATTTTGAACTGCAAGTTTGTTTTAAAAGCATAATTCCACTCTGTACCAATATGAAGAGTATTACTACACCTTGATACCATTTGTTCAAAACTTATCACATCAAAGAAGTTGGGAGATGGAAACAGGCCCAATCACTGACACCATTCCCCCTCTCCCCCCTATTCTACTTACCTACAAAAGGGTCTGGGAATAGTGGGGACCACATAACAAATCCCTCCATTCAGGCAGAATGACCCATGACTGGAACCGCACGGCTCTTCGTGATCTGAAACACATGAAGTGACATTTTATAGAGCCAAGAAAGGCAAATCAAGGAAGAGAACTAGATATCTTAGACAGAAACACAAATCTAAAAATTTAAAGGAGGGGCTGGAGCAATAGCACAGCGGGTAGGGCATTTGCCTTGCACGTGGCTGACCCGGGTTCAATCCCCAGCATCCCATATGGTCCCCCGAGCATCACCAGGAGTGATTCCTGAGTGCAGAGCCAGGAGTATCCCCTGTGCATCACCGGGTGTGACCCCAAAAGCAAATAAATAAATAAATATAAAAATTTAAATGAATATTCCCAGCATGATCTACGAGGGTCAGAGTATGGAAACCACCCAAGTGCCAAGCAATAGATGAGTGGCTAAACCAACCATGCAATGACTACAGAAAGAAACTGTGGCACAGAGACACAATGGAATACAACTTGGCTATAAGAAAAGATGGAGTCATGCAATTTGCAGCTTCGTGGACGGGTCTGGAGAGTGTCGTATTGAGTAAGGGACAGACACAGAATTCCCTCTCTCATATGTGGGATATAAAGAAACAGTAGAGAAATGTAAAATGTCCAAAGGTAACAGAACCTGAGGACTGGTCATTAGTAGGAAACTAACCAGCAGAGAAGAAATAAGGAAGGGGTGTGTTAGAATTGGGAGACACCGGGACAATGGTGGACAGACGTGGACACTCTGGTGGAGGGTGTGGAGATGGATTGTGTTATGCAGGAGACCCTACAGTACAGTAAACCGTGGTGCCTAAAATAAAATAAAAATCATAAAATTTTAAAAAAGAGGGTATGGCCTAGATAGACAATGGAATACCACTCTTCTATGAGAAAAGATGAAGCCTTGCAGTTTGTTTGAACTTGAATGGCACTGGCTGGTATCATGTTAAGTAAAATGAATCAGCAAGAAAAAGCCAAACACCACACGACCTCGCTCACGTGTGGAGCATAAAGAAGCAGAGCGTGAGAACTAGGGCAGGAAGCAAGGCTTGGCTTTGCATGCGGCTAACCCTGGTTCAGTCCCTATCCCCTGCTCAGCATCTGGTCTCGACCCCAAGCACTGCTGGGTGATTCCTGCGCTGGGTTAGGTATTGCCCCTGAGCACCACTGAGTGTGGCCCCACCCCACCCTACCCCAAAAGGCAAGGGATTAGGTGACCCCCAGTGAAAAGAAGCCCGAGACACAGACAGTGGAGCTGTGATATGAGGCTATTGTGGGTTGGGAACTTAATGGGGCAAGTAGGGGGAGGGTCTTTTTTTTTTTCTTTTTGGGTCACACCCGGCAATGCACAGGGGTGACTCCTGGCTCTGCACTAAGGAATTACTCCTGGCGGTGCTCAGGGCACCATACAGGATGCTGGGAATCGAACCCCGGTCGGCCACGTGCAAGGCAAACACCCTACCCACTGTGCTATCGCTCTAGCCCCTGGGAGGGTATCTTGGCACCCTCTCTTGATAGTCATGGTGTAGCCACTCTGCAAATATAAAGTGATCGTTTTGAACTATGGTAAAAATTAGCAAATAAGAAATTGATGGTCTTAGTCTAAAAAAATTTAAACTGAGGGACCAAGAAGTAGTTCGGTGGTTAGAATGCACATCTAGCAAGCACCAAACCAGGGTTTGATATCCAGCACCACACGGGTCCCCAGAACCATTGTGGCCTTGGAGACCTCCAGTCCACCAGGATGGCTTGAATATCCCAGGCACCGCCGAGCCAGAGCAGCGTCGCATCCTCAGGCCCTTGCATGGACCAACCACCTGGCTGGCTGAGAATCACCAATGGGGCTTCAGGGCCCTGCCCCTGCCAGAACTTTTTTAAATGAATGATTATTTTTCAAAATAAGGACTTAATGTTATTCCTCATTTAATAAGCAGAGAACTTCTGTCCCTTTGGTGGAAAAAATGAACCTTACGTGGTCAGGAATTATAATGGATTTGGAAGTTGTACTAAAAAATTAGATTTCAAAAAGTTCAGTAGTATCTGAAAGCAGTGGACTCTGCATTTGAGTACAGAGTGTTGGCTGCTTTGCTTTCAGGGTCCTGATAATTAGTCTTTCCTTTTAGGTACCAAACACATCACAGCTGTTATTGTTATGTGAAAAAAGATTTAGATAATTTTAGCAATCAAAACTGATTTCAATTATCTTGAGATATTTCTACAAATGATCGTTTTAATATCAAAAGACAAAAAACAAGCTTACAAGGTATTTTATTCTAAGAGGATTTTAAGTCATAGCTAGTGAACTGTCAAGACACAGTTAAAGTTCTGAAGTCAAACAAAAATCTTTTGCTGCTTTGACACACAACCAAAGCTTTAACACTCTGAAGATAATAGGAAGGAGCAATACTCTAGTGAGGAGGGCATTCACCTTGCATCTGGCCAACCCAGGTTTGATCCCTGGCATCCCAGAAGGTCCTCCCTGAGCATTACCAGGAGAGATTTCTGAGTGCAGAGCCAGAAGTAGAACCCTCTGAGCACTGTTTGGTGTGGCCCTCCCAAAAACAAAATAAAGAAAATAGCCCCCACAGTTCTTGCTTCCTTTCTCACCTCACTTTCCAACCCATGTATCTTTCACTTTTTCTTCATCCTATCTTTGCCTTCCCTGACTCCTGTGGAACCTCACCTTCCTTCAAACCTCCCCCACCTGCCACCACAGCTTGGTCCCTCCCTTTCACTCCCGGGCATCAGCAACATGTCATGGAAAAAATGAGAAATGTCCTTCGAAGAATTTATTCAGGACTTCTACTGCTGTGTATGGTTAGAGGAACAAATGGTTAAATACTTGCGCAGTCTGTTTTTTGTTTTTTGTTTCTTTTTGGTGGGGGTATACACCTGACAATTCTCAGGGGTTATTCCTGGCTCTGCACTCAGGAATTGCTCCTGGTGGTGCTTACTGGACCATATGGAATCCTGGGGATCGAGTCTAGGTTAGCCACATGCAAGGTAAATGCCGTATCTGCTGGCCCCAATTCAAGCAATTGCATTGCTCGAAAATGACCCATTGTGATGGCTGAAGAGAAAGCTTAAAGGACTGGAGCACATGCTTTGAATGGAAGAGGCTTGGGTCAATGACTGGCACCTTAGGGTCCCCCAACATCAGCAAAATCAACCCCTGAACACATGCCTGGACGTAGCCCCCGAGAGTTACATGGTGTAGCCCCAAACCAAGCAAACAACTCCTCATGCCCCCAAATAAATAAAATTGCACATTGTTGGTTCTTGATGACTTCTGCCTAGAAAATGGCCTAAAATCTTACATGATGAAGAAAGTGGCATTACTACTATCTGGCATTAAAAAAATAGTATGTTTTGTTCTGAAAGAATTATCTAGTATTGGCCCTGAAGATAACAGTACCTGTTAAGATGTAATCGCTACTGAGTCAGATGTTTTCACCATCAAAATTTGAAGTTTAAACATGGAGATGAGTAGTCTACCAACATTTGTAGTAGAAAACTGTGTACATATAGGGCTGAAGAGATGGCTTACAGGGCTGAAGGTTTGCAAGCAGGATTCCTGGGGTTCGGTCCCTGGCATTGTACGGTACCCCTGAGCACTGTCAGGAAGTGACTCCTGAGCAATTCTGATTATGGACCCGTCATATACAAAAAATACCCCATAAACAAACCAATGAAACATAGAGGAAAACAGAATGACAAAGAATTTAAGTAGAAAATAGGAAACCCAACCAGAACTAATTCTTGTATAGTTTTTCTTTTGACACAGTGTCAGGCTTCTTAACCATCAAACAACTTTTAACAAAGTAACAACTTTTGTTAAATTAGTTCTCACAATTTGTCAGGAATAATCTGGTTAATGACTTGACAATTAACATCACATTAAATCAGAATCACAGACATTGCTGAGGATTTTCCACTGAGGGTGGAATGAATAAATATATATGGAATTTTTGCATGGCTGAAGTTAGAAACTTTGGTTTTTTGTTTGTAACGTTTTTTTTTTCTTTTTGGGTCACACCCAGCGATGCACAGGGGTTACTCCTGGCTCTGCACTTAGGAATTACCCCTGGTGGTGCTCAGGGGACCATATGAGATGCTGGGACTCGAACCCATGTTGGCCGCGTGCAAGGCAAATGCCCTACCCGCTGTGCTATTGTTCCAGCCCCTGTAAAGTATTTTTAAAAATCTAGTCACTGTGAAATTACAAAGTTATTCTTGATTGGCCTTTAGGCATACAATATTTTAACTCTGATCTTTTCATCAGTGTCCACTTCCCTCCTCCACTGTTCAACTCCCCCAATCTCACTTGCCGCCCACCCCTAGTCTATGATCTTGGTTTTTAATTGGATTCTACTCCCTCATGCCTTAACACCGGTATTTTATCAATAAAGAATTCTAATCTAACCAGAATTTCTCTTGGAGATGTATTTTCACTCCATCGCATTTACTTATTTGAAAGTTGATATTGGATACAGAGTAAGAGAGAATTTGTTGGCTTCTAGAAGGCATCAAAATAGAGTTCTAGGGGGCTGGAGCGATAGCACAGCAGGTAGGGTGTTTGCCTTGCACGCAGCCGACCCGGGTTCGATTCCCAGCATCCCATATGGTCCCCCAAGTACCGCCAGGAGTAATTCCTGAGTGCATGAGCCAGGAGTAACCCCTGTGCATCGCTGGGTGTGACCCCAAAAGCAATATATATATATATATATATATTTCTAAAACAAAATAGCTTCATGTTACAAAGAAGGCCTTTCAAAATTGAATCATTTTAGATCACTGAGGCAATCTCAGATGGCATAAAATACAGCTTTGTAATAACACGGTAAAATATAGCTTTGTTGTTCTACTGCTATGAGACACACATTGACATAAAGTATAAACTTACAAGGAATTACCTGTCGGCATCTTAACTTTTAAATAGTTTCATTCTTGGTCAAAAGTTTAGTGTTGAAAACAGCACCTAAAATTAATAATTTTGGAAAAATTATCTTCTTTTGAGGGCATTAAAAAACCAAAAATATTCTAAAGCAACATTCTTTTAAACAATGAAAGCAAGACATTTGTATACTGTTGATAAGACTAATCGGTTACTTGGGATTTTTTAGAGACTCTATAAATCAAAAATACTGATTATATTAAATGAAAAGAATAACATTAAAGAGTATAAATGCACGAAATATGATTGTTTAAATATATAATTTTCAACCACTCACCAGAAAAAGTCTTACTTTCAGGAGGCTTTGCTAATACAGTGCATGAGAGTACTAGAAAGATGAGTCAGCAAATTAAATGGAATGACCTAGATTGACTTTATACTTTTCATAAAGCCTATTTCTCATCTGACCTTCAAAGAAAACCAGCTAACTTCCAATCTTTCCCTTTATTAAAAAAAAATGACAAGCTACTGGCAAATCCTTGACAACACTTAAGAGACTTGCGTTTGATAGACAAAACCTTCTGTTTCGTAGAAAGGACTTTTCGGCTTGCTGGCGAGAGCACGTTCACGAAGCTGCTTGGGCCTCTGGAAAAAACATCGCTGGCATCTGGTGAAGCAGAGAGGCTGCAAGACAGGCCTCCGCCGCTCCGGCAGAAACAAAGGCACCAAAAGTACATTTGCAGGGATGAAGGACTGGCACTGACAAGTCCTCAGCTTGCAAATACCAAGGGAACCTCCCCTGGCGCAGGCAGAAAGTCCTCGCACCAGAAACCTCGGTCGACGGCCTGCAGCCAGCGCAGGTGGACCATCGGGGTCCCCTCCCCGGCCCTCGCTGCTCTTGGGTTCGGACAGGCCACGCGTCGTCGCAGCAAGAAGACGGGGAGGAGGAGGAGGAGGCAGGGAGGAGGGGGAGAGGGAGAGGAGGAGGAGCGTGGTACCTACTCGGCCTGGCCTGCAGCGATCGCCGCCTCCCCGGGTGCGGTTCTGCTTGCAAACGCGGCTCGCTCGGGTCCGACACGGACCTCCGTCCCGTGGACTCCGTGGCTCGGGCGGCCACTCCCCGGTCCCTGGGACCCGCGGCCGCGCGTGGCACCGGCTCGCGCACGGAACCCCGATTTACATGGCGGCGGGGTGCGGTGTGGGCGACGCCGAGGCCGAGACAAAGACCCAGGTGTGCACAGAGGCCGGCGCCAGCCAGGGGACCGCCCCTCGTCCCCATGCTCGGGGCCGCCGAGGGCCAGGTTCCGTGGGGCCGAAGGCGCCGCGCGGAGCAGCGCGCTCGAGGACGCCCGGCTCCTTCCAGGCCGCGAAGCAAACCCCACTCTCGCCCGCGGCCAAGCGCTTCAAGTGGGCTGTGCATCCGGGCGGGGGAAAGAGGCTCTTCTGCGGCGCTGAAGGACCCGAGCTCCAAGGGGGTGGGGGAGGGACGCGGAATCGAAACACGGTCTCCCGGGGCTGGCGCGATGCTGGCACAGCGGGGAGGCGTTTGCCTTGCACGCGGGCGACCCGGGTTCGATTCCCGGCATCCCACTGGGTCCCCCGGGCACCGCCAGGAGGGATTCCTGAGTGCATGAGCCAGGAGTGACCCCTGTGCATCGCCCGGTGTGACCCAAAAAGCAAAAACAACAACGACATAAAAGTGCATGAGCCAGGAGTGACCCCTGTGCATCGCCCGGTGTGACCCAAAAAGCAAACAACAACAACAACAAAAAGTGCATGAGCCAGGAGTGACCCCTGTGCATCGCCCGGTGTGACCCAAAAAGCAAAAAACAACAAAAAGTGCATGAGCCAGGAGTGACCCCTGTGCATCGCCCGGTTGTGACCCAAAAAGCAAAAACAACAACAACAGAAAGTGCATGAGCCAGGAGTGACCCCTGTGCATCGCTGGGTGCGACCCAAAAAGCAAAAAACAACAACAAAAAGTGCATGAGCCAGGAGTGATCCCTGTGCATCGCCCAGTGTGACCCAAAAAGCAAAAAACAACAACAAAAAGTGCATGAGCCAGGAGTGACCCCTGTGCATCGCCCGGTTGTGACCCAAAAAGCAAAAAACAACAACAACAAAAAGTGCATGAGCCAGGAGTGACCCCTGTGCATCGCTGGGTGCGACCCAAAAAGCAAAAAAAAAAAAAAAAAAAGAAGAAGAAGAAGAAGAAGAAGGTTCAAAGCGCTACTTGCACAGATTTTGCTGATGGAAGGTTTAGGTTGGATACTTGGAACTGGCATGGTCTCGAGCCCCAAACCTGGTATGGCGCCCCCCCCCCCCCACACACACACACTTAAGCAAAAAAAAATTAAAAGACCACCAACCCTGGGGCTGGAGCAATAGCACAGCGGATAGGGCGTTTGCCTTGCACGTGGCCAACCCGGGTTTGACTCCCAGCATCCCATATGGTCCCCTGAGCACCACCAGGAGTGATTCCTGAGTGCATGAACCAGGAGTAACCCCTGTGCATTGCCCGGTGTGACCCAAAAAGCAAAAAACAACAACAACAAAAAGTGCATGAGCCAGGAGTGACCCCTGTGCATCGCCCGGTGTGACCCAAAAAGCAAAAAACAACAACAAAAAAAACCCCACGGTTTTTTTTCACACACGCTGTATTCTTCACCTAAATGGGGCTGGGGAGTACCTCCGTGCTAGACGGAAGGCATGTCTTAGATACATGTATTAAGGCCCTGATTTCAATCCCCAGTACCAAAGAAAGAATAATTTAAAAAAATGAGAAATGAGGACTTGAAGAACCTATAATACGGAAAGAAAGTCATAATTACAATAGAATAAACATGCTCAATTTGAAGTGCTTATCACGGGACATGAGTAATCTGTGCAATATAACTACTTGTAAGCTATGATAAAGCTATTTTATATGTATTAAACAAAGCTTGGAGGTCTACACAACACCCAAAAGGAGAGAGAGAACAAAGGGGAATGCCCTGCCACAGAGGCAGGGTGGGAGGGGGGGTGGGGGGGATATTATCCATGGTGGTGGAGGGTGGGCACTGGTGGAGGGATGGGTATTTGATCATTGTATGACCAAAACCCAAGCACAAAAATTTGTAAAGCTACAACTGTACCTCATGTTGCTTCACTAAAAAAAAAAAAAAAAAAAAAAAAGCTTGGAGGTCTAAAACTCAAATAATTAAAAAATACTAAAACTACTAAAAACCATATTTTTAAATGAAGGACAGATTTATTCACTTATAATTTATCAAGCATTTTGATGGATTTTTTTAAAAGCCACAATTCAGATATTAATGCTTGACTGATGTCAAATTAATTCATCATCCCCTACTATGACAATTATTACATATTATCTCCCACATTCAAAGGCAATTTTTACATGACAATTTTATTTATCTACACATTAGCATATAATACATGAATTTAAATATTTTTAAATAAAATATCAATCACCTTTATTACTTTACACTATGAGTCTGTGACACTACCTACTAACATGGAAATGGTCACTAAACATTGCATGTGAGATAACTGACCTTATCTAAACCATTCAAGATGTGTTTATTCAAAAACATTGTGGTTCCGGATTTTTACCTGATGCAAATAAACAACTGCTGAGGCAGGGGATAGAGGTAGGGGAGAGGAATACTGGGGATGCTGGTGGTGGAAAATGTAACTGGTGGAGTGATGAGTATTCGATCATTGACTGAAACTCAAACATGAAAGTTTTGTAAGTATAACTCAAGGTGATTCAATAATTAAAAAAAAACTCTACAGTAGAAAAATCTAGTGTTCCTTTTCTTTATTTTTTGTTTGTTTTGTTTTGGGACCACACCCAGCAGTGCTCAGGGATTACTACTGGCTCTGCACTCAGGAATCACTCCTGGTGGTGCACTGGGGACTACATGGGATGTCAGAGATTGAACCTGGGTTGGCAGTGTGCAAGGCAAACGCCCTACCCGCTGTACTATTGCTTCAACCCTAGAGCTGCCTTCCTTTGGGGTATTGAAGGGGAGACTAGAGAATAATGTGCCTTATGACATGGTGCCCACTCAAGCAAAGTGATGAACAATGGAAAGACAATTGCAGTGCAGTGCTATGATACCTCAAATATTCAACTTCTTTTTGTAGTTTTTTTTGTTTGTTTTGTTTTATGGTGCTCAGGGCTTACTCCTGGCTGTGAGCTCAGGGATCGCTCCTGGAAGGCTCAGGGGATCATGGACTACTGGGGAATCAAACCCAGGTGGGCTGGGAAATGCCCTACCCACTGTACTATCATTCTGCCCCCCCCAATCTTAATTTCTTTAGAGAATTTTGGGAGGCATATAAACATGACTCCATTCCCTCCAGTCTTTTCCAAAGGGGGTAGGGTGGTCTTCCCATGGCTGATTTATGCACTAATGCTTAACGCCTTATACACTCTTTGCTGTAGTCAATCTTATTTCTTTTGCTTTTTGTTTTGCCTTGTAAGACTAAGCCTGATTGATTAAAAGGGGCTCCCAGTCCAATGCAGCCTATCTATAGCATATTCTAGATTGTGGCTTTAATCTAATAACTTCTTTTCCTATTTTCTAGAAAATAGTGATCACTTATCTACTGGTCAGCCTGAATTCCTCGTTCCTTTCCTTCTTGCTAGATACTCAGTCTGTCATCTTGAATCACAAAAACCTCATCTCACTACCCCACTTTATTTTTGTTATTTTTTTGGGCCACACTTGGTGATGCTCAGGGCTTATTCCTGGCTCTGTGCTCAGAGATCACTCCTGATGGTGCTCAGGGGCAATGAGATGCAAGCAAGCCCCTGCCCATTGCACCATCTTTCTGGCCTTTACTACCCCACTCTTGATTCTGATAAATGGGGCACTGTAGGTTAGAGAGAAGTTGGTCAGTAACCACCTATACAATTAAAATATTCCAAAATACTAAAGAATATTAAATATTGCAGCAAATGTCATAAAGGAATAAAAATTACACAAAATATGACTATTAAAAAAAGATATATCACTGATTTATAGTTGTTACACATCACATACTATAAAAGATGGAGAAAACCACGTTTA